TCTGTTAAAGTAAAAGAATTAGAAGGCTTAACAATTACGTTAGCCTGTCCCACTATTTATAATAAGAGTTAGGAAAACCTTAGGAGACCCTAGGTATTACATAAAAGACCTAAATACCCTTTAACAAATACTGAATGACCATCTTCTAATAGCTTAAAATTCTCAGACTTGGATATAATTTTTCGGGTAAGTGTCGTTAAGTTTAATAAATGAAAAGCTAAATTATGTGTGCAAAATTGCTCCAAACAATTGCCACGAGTGTGAAGTGTTCATTTGTTTCTTCTAACGAGAAACAGCATAAATGTTTTCTCTACTTCGAATATTTCAGAGTTTACTGCATTATGATGTGTTTTATAAAACACCATGTACTAGTCAACATTGTCCCTCTTTTTCATAAAAGCACAATGTAATTATATGTCCTTGTATAAAAAGCTAGAAGATTACATGTTTGGAAAACTTGCAGAAAGGGACGACTCCAGAGGGAAAATAGGTAACATTTGAACCAAGAGAAATGCAGCTAACATATTATGCGAAAGAAAATTTTTACTTGCTCAGCAGACCAAAGCTTGGGCATCTGCATTTTCCCTGAAAGATGATACCCTATGAATCCAAGAATATAATCAACAGATTGCGTCAGCTGTAGATGGGCCACATCCGTAGATAAAAGATCGACATGTCCATTGCCCGCATAACAACTCCCTGTGTCAAAAATTTCAGCTTCAATGGCGAAGTTCGCAGCAAACTTATCTTCAGATGTTTCAGTTGAGTTGTCAATACTAACTGCTGATTTGTCGATTTTCACCTCAACCTGGATGGTGAATTTGACAAAAAATAAATATCCACCTCCGCATTTTTGCAACATAAGGTCTTCATGATAATAATGAGCCTTAACCTTAGGAAAGTTTCTAGCAAAAGCAATCAGGATTTTGATTTCAAACTGCCATATTACATTTTAAACAGGGTTAGAGGATTTTGATTGCGAATTAAATGTATAGCTTCTCTTAAGCTGAACCAAATAGTTGGATCATGCCAAGCAGATAAAATATTTTGAATATGAAGATAGTTGGAAAGATTGCAGGACTTTTATGGTGAAAAAAGGAAAAGGGAAAAGAAATCTTTTTCCCTCTTGCTCGTGTTACTAGCACTTAAAAAGAGAAACTGAATTCAGATTGTCATTATTTCCTTCATTTAAAATATAGTAGATTACTAAATGTGGGAAAGAATAACAAAGAGTTGAGACAGTAAAGAGCAATAAATTTATCAGGGCAATAAGTAAATATTTTAGAAGGTAACTAATTCATTCTTGGTGCATCAATAGCATTAACAGTTAGGCAAGGAACAAAAAACATCTTTCATGTGCAATATATTTGATTTTATGGTGTATTTATTTTGCTTTTCTTAATCTGGTGTAACTTTGTTATGCCATTTATCATTACCTGTATATCTGCATAAGAAAAATCTTCAGCTAAGTTGGATCTGAAGAAATAATCTTCAATAAAAACCTGCACATTCATTTTCCAAGTAGATCACATGAGTTTCTTATATACCATTGTTAAACAAGATAATACAGACACAGAAAAAATGAGAATGGAAAGTTCACAAAGTCCATGGTTCATATTATTTTTTTAATATGTTGTTGACTTGTTTACGCATGGCAGTAGTTGGTATAGAATATTATTTAGTGGTTAGATATTATATACCCTTGGTTTTGCATTTGGATTTCGGGTCCTTGTTTTATTATAATTCTTTTAAGTCAGCAAATAATTGTGTAATTTCTTATACTAATGAAGTATATCATCATCGAGAATTTACATTGATGTATTTTTCCCTCACTAGGATTCTTATTTTTATCTCTCTTCTTGCAAGCTTCCTTTTTCTACAATTTCTAAAATGTAGCTCTTTCTTCCTACCCCTCCTTCAACCACCCCAACCCCCCAAAAAAACTGTATATCATAAAGATAATGAATAATAGATCCACAAGTTTCCTACAACATAAGCAATATAAACAGCAGTGTTTCATAATTTTGGCAGTTTTTAATGTCCATTTCCAAAATTCCCGAAAAATTCACTTAAACCAGATACTTTCAAGAGAAAATCATCCCTAGACCATTATAAATTCATATACCACATAATCTACATCCATCCCCAGTGTGAAATCTTTGTATCAGGATCTCAACAGGCATTTGAGGAAGGGATATTGTTCAAAGACGTGCAAATTTTTCAGGCGAATTCAGTTCCTGCTAGGATCAGGGGAGTAAGTTTTCAGTTGGAAGGTGAAATAAGCAAGGATTAAAAGAATACTAGTTTTGCATTAGAAAGAATGGGAGCACTGATTGATATCTATTATCCCATGGATCAATCTCCCAAGGTGGTCGATGTCAGTCTTTTGCTGACATTTTTGTAGGCAAGAAATGTCCAACTGACATAGATTACTGTCCAGAAAAGAGCTTATTGAACCAGACAAACTATAACAGAGAATTGAATTGTAAGCACTGACGTGGGAGAAGAATACATTCTCATATACAAATGAATATTGAATTATTACTACATTTTCCACCATAAAGGTAATTCCAGAAATTACTCTCTTTTTTAATCAAGAAAACCTGTAGAGACAACAGGAGAATACAAACCTTAGGCTTAGCAAAAAGGAGGACATCACGATGAATGCCCGACAGCCACCAGTGATCCTGATCTTCAAGATAAGAACCATCGCTCCATCGCATTACTTGAACGGCAAGAGAATTTCTCTGGTCAGATCCACTGGGATAACAAAAGTCTGTGATCTCAAATTCAGCTGGTAGTCTGCTATCCTGACTGATATGAAAAGAAAAATAGTTAGCTAGTGTAAGAAAATAATTTTGTTTTCTGTACTATAGACGAAACCCAACAAAAAGAAAATGTTCTATGAACTAAAATATTTATCTTACAATACTCTGGACCAAGATAGCTTCATCAATACTAAAAAGTATAGTAGCCAAACATGTTTGAAGTAGCAACAACCTCTAATTAACCCAAGGAAATAGAGAACAATTAAATTCATAAGAAAAATGGTGCTTATTGCAAAATTAACCAAAAAAATGAAAGCACGTGGATACCATTTTTCCATGCAACTCGCCTATTTTCATGTGATCCCCCGGTCAAGTACAAAAACTTGAAGGAGGAGGAGATCCATAGAAGCACTATACTTAGCCTTTCCAATACCAAAGCTCATCTTTTGTTGTCCTGAGTGTCCCGTCTAAAACCTATTAAGACTACAAACTCTGACCTTATCAGCTAAGAAGCACGAATACGGATACGTAATTCGGATACAATACGATACGAATACGTCGATGCGACTTTTTTTAAAAAAATTAGGATACCCCAATACATTTATAAAAATTTAACATAATTTCATTAATATAAAAAAACATTAATACATAAGGATGATAATAAAAATAAAATAAAATACTAAAGCACTTTATTAGCATGGTTTTACATATATTAAATCATTATTTATTTTCAATAATAGAATTAATGTAACACAATTTTAAATGTAATATTTAATACTAATCACAATCCATTTTCAATAATAAAAATATATTTGTCAACTATAACACGATTTCACGTGTATTGAAAGATTAATCATACTGTACATTTCCAATAAAAAGTCTAGTTGTTAATTTTAGCTCCTGGCCATTTTTTCAGAAAAATTGTTTTGAATAGTGAATTTTTTGAGAATGTGTGGTTAAAAAGTCGGAAAGAGTTTTGTGTTTACGTGTTAGAATATTTTATTTTGTGAATATGTAGTTGAAAATGAGTTTGACGAAAATAGAGTTTTGAAAGAATGGAAGACAAACAGAGGCTTAAAACTTTAATTGTGTATTTTCAATAAATATTATTGATATTCAATAAGTTATTAAAATAATTTAAAAAATACATATTGAATACGTATTAGATATGTATTGAAAATCATACAAAAATATAAAATAATTGAAAAATATGTATCGAATACGTATTGAAAATTTAAAAATTATCAAAATATATAAAAATAATTAAAAAATAAGTATCCGGTACATATCGGAAGATATCGGAGAGCATCGGAGCTTGGAAACGTATCAGATACGAGTGCGTAACGAGTTTACAAGTATCGGTGCTTCTTGGCTTATCAGCAACAAAATACAAAAACTACTTAAAAGGAAATAATTTCTATTGAAGATAAAATCATACAGGATTTGCATGTACTTTTCTCTTACAGGTAATGGTAACCATGCACATATGTATAAAGATATATCTGTATTGCTTGCAGTAGGGAAAAAAAAGAGTAGACTAAAAATACAGAACAAGTGGCAGCAGCCTTTTGGATTTCTTTTAATCTTTCAATTTTAACCAAATTTTGTACCCGGCTCCACAAATTCATAAATCTCAGTGCAACTGGGAACGCATTCCAAATTATAGACATGCTTAAAATTCTGTAAGTTTCTACATATGTACAGATAGGTGGAGACAAGGGACAAGGAGATATCCACCCTGACTAAAACAATGGAAAATCTGACCTTTAAGTTAACTAGAAACACCAGGGAACAAATGGTTAGTCCAACTCATATTCTGAGCCAGTAAATTTAGAATTGAAGCTTCGTACTGCATACATTTTATAAAAGACCAGTAAATAGAAAATGACACTTCTTGTAGCTTAAAAACAATCCCGTTAAAAGATATACAAATGTTTGTAGGAAAACACCATTATGCCACTTCTCACTTGGACAAATCCAACGTGCAATGTTCAATATAATCGTTCCTTATCCGTGTTTGTCCGTTTTATGCACAAATTTGTAGGTGATGTCCTAGCAACAAAAGGGTTTTGAATTTCTTTGCACTGTAAATTATTCATAATCATCACCATAAATGAAAAACTAATGAAATATTAGTGTTTGGCGGATCAAAAATCATTTTCACTTTGAGAACTATTCTTTTTTACTTTTCAAAAGTGCTATTTCATCAACTTATTTTTCTGGATCATTGTTAGGGTTCATGAATTAGAGATATACTCTCAGGTTTCGATTCGTGCAATAACATGACAGACAAGGAAATTTACCTTTCAAAAAAATGATAGACAAGGAAATTTATCCCTCAATCAAGCTTCGACCTAACGATGTGTAATTCATACTGATAGCATGATATCATGACTGTCGTCCACTTCTCCACCCATTTTGTCCCATAGGAAAATTTACAACTACTACCTCTTGTCTGAGAATTTCAGGATTCATATATGCTTGTATATGTAAATGAGCTCCAATGAGATCATAGAATATGAGTAAAAAGGGAGCAATCCCACTGGACAAGTCCTTTCTAAGCCATCAGCCAGATTTTATCAGAGATAACCCTTATCTTCAACCACAAATGGCAGGATAAAAGGTACTATTGATGGAAAGGGCAAATACAAAGTGAATTGGGAAATTTACAACAAAATATAACAAATGCTTAAGAAAATGCATGACAAACCTGTATCCAATGGGGCGTCCATTTACCCATGCAAAGAAGGCAGAATCAACTGCTTCAAAATGTAAAAATATCCTGCGACCTGCAAAACACCACAGATGCATTGCATGATATGGTTGACATCCAAATAAAATTATGATTATCAAAAAATGTGCTTAGACAGAGGACCTGGTAGAGGATGAGAAAATGAATAAATGCCCAATTGAGTTGGTTTGCAACAAATGGCAGTTATTTGGTCAATTCGGGGTTGCGAGGGATAGAATTCTACTGGGTCATTATCTTGCAACTAGTTATATTCGTGGTAGAGCAGTAAACCTATCTTCCTTATGCACTACAGCATCTGGTCAGTCAAGATCTAATAGATGTGCAACAAAGTTGGATTCAGTTGTTTATTTGATTTTGCTTGTACCTAAGAATGTCTTGCCCTCTAATCTTGTTATCTACTTCTCCTATTAATGAATTTTGTTTTGAATGAGAAAAATGGCAAGCATTAACTTGAATTGTTTGGAAATTTCATGATCGACTATTAGTCCCAACATGTGCCAATTAAAACTCACCTTCCCATTCTTTAGGAATGTAAAAGTAAGTTCTGTAGCAACCAGTGGGATTGTCTTCAGGAACTCTGGGAGGATCCAATGGAAATGGATATACGACGTTTGTATAGATTGGAATATCAAATCCATGCATCTGCCAATTGGATGGAACTGTTTCAATCATGGAAAAAGATGCATTAGAACCTAGGAGCACTTGAAGATGTCTCCATTTCAAGAAGCATGTGTCCACAACCAAAGCCCAAGTTCTTTGCGTTCTCGATCATAGTGTAGAACTGTAATTCTGAGAAAATATAATGTGAATTACTCCTTAGACTCTGTCCTAGAGTCTAAGGACAAGTGCACAGTTATTGGATACAAGTATAACAATAAGAAGTAACAAAAAAAAAGACCTGGTAAAGCATCCCATGAAGAATCTTGAAATGAGCTATCATAAAAATTAACAGGGCTGCTACTGGGAGATGGTGCCAGAAAGAATTTCCAATAGCCAGACAAAGATTTGACAAAAGGCAAGTCCTTGACCCAGTACGCAGCACAATCAAGGGCCTTAGCAACAGCATCGTCATCCCAAACAGCTGATTTTGACACTAGTAAATCCACTTTGTTGCGCTCGTACCAATATCTTAGAGAGCCTGAGCAATAATAATCTTAAAATTTACAATTCTGAGCATCATCTGATAAAACAGCAGAAATATTATCAAAGAAAGGATATAAGAACGGTAATTAATAAGAAATTGATGGCGTGTGATATTTGACCATTAAGAAGTAATTTTGTGAGTCGTATTCTGACCTGAGCTACAACCTAACTTGGTAGTGGAACCAAAAATTTTCCTCTTCAGACACAAGTTACAGCTAAGAATAGATTAATATCCTTTATGATTAATATTCTCTTCTTTAAGATACGAAGGGAAAGAAGTTTTACAATTGATATTCTCTTCTTCAAGATACGTAGGGAAAGAAGTTTCAGTTTTAAAACGTGAACATGTATAAAGACCTGCTGATACACATAAAAACAAAACAAAGCAAATTGAATAGTAATGAAGATATTTGTAAACTTGAATAATCTAGTTTGAAGTACATGGAACTAGATAACTATCCTCTTCAAAAGAAAACTTCTAAAACCAATTTGCCTCATTAAAAAGAATTTATATGAGTGTAGTTCCCTCTAGTGTTTGATAAGAACTAAAGAAAGTGACGATCACCTTCGACAGATTCGTGGCAGCGTAGTGGAACATGAGCATCTCTCTTATTCCACTTGATGAAAGATGGATCTTCCCATGCCTTATGACCATTATTTGGAGGTATAACAAGTTGACTAACTACCGAAGCCATCTCTGTGAACTAGAAATAATTACTGAATCATAGAAGATGTATCATTTAAACAGAAAGACAAGAAAAGGAAAGGAAAGTACACTTTATCACAACGAGACTGAAATAGACTATGTTTATTTAAATGGGGTTAATTCTATTTGTGGTAACTATATTTTACTCTAGTGTCAACCAGGTAACTTTAATTCAGTTTTTTTAATTGGATACCTTTTCTATGATATGATTTCAATCAGGTAACTATACTTTTATTTGATTTCAATCGGGCAACTATAGCTTAATTTAATTTCAACATTAAGACAAGTTTGTCCGATTCCAATGATGGAAATCGATTATGCGACGGTCAATGATGTTAAATATGTACAATATGACGGGCTTCATTTATTGACTATCAGTTCATCTATATGCATTGGTCTAGGTAACGGAATTGCATAGAGTTATCCTACTGAAATTGAATTGAAGTGTATTTACCCAATTTGACAAAATTGAAGTACGACTACTGGATTGACACTAGATTAACATATAGTTATGTACCCATATAAATGCATCTCGACAAGTCCTACTCAATGTCAATGAGACATCAATCTCTATTTCATAAGGATTCTAGTGTTTGTAATGGGCGTGATTATGTGTTCAAATATTGAATTTACTTATAAAGAAATAGGTTCCAAATATCATATTAAACCGAACTCAAATTCCAGAGGTTCACAAGCAAACAAAGTCCTAAAAAGACCCTCAAGAGGACCACGCGAAAATAAAGACCTGGCAAGATCTTTCGGGATCCCCAAGCACAAAAGAGGCCTTCAAGGGGTTTGGGGATAAACCATATGACCTAACGAGATATTCATAGATCTTTACACAAAAGTTCTATAGCTACCCTTGGGCAAACGATACTAAGCCCCAGTTGACGGGATTCTAGCAACGAGGAGGGTACGGGACGGGTTAACCATTTCCACCCTTGTTCCGTCAGATATTTTTGTTACCTTACCCCATATTCTCACCCCATCTTGTCAAGTATTTTGTCACTTTGTCCAATCACTATACCTAATTAAAGCGGGACGAGGTTACTTTGATGCGGGGCGGGACATATCCTCTGCCTCATTTATCGTCGCATTTTTTTCTTTTTATTTTTTGTTTATTTCATTTTTTCTTTTATTTTTTTAAGTCTTTAGTTAGTAAATATTATTACTTTTTTTTTTTCAATTTATTAAAAACAACTTATGTTCTCTTTAAAAATGATATATATCTTTATTTTAACTTGATAAAAAACTTAAATTTAAAATTAACTTTAAATGGTGTCCCATTTGGGTTGAATGGATATTTTGCCATCCCCATGTTCAAGCAATTCACTTGAAATCAAGAAAAAAGGACTAGACTAATTTTGACAATATCACACTGCAACTGGCACACATACAGCACAGATATTCAGATGTTCAATCTCTGTGTCTTGCGCGCGCGCACGCATATATATATAAACATTTAAGTCAAACACAGAACCTTAGATGTTTTCTAGTTCCATTGGAGCTACTTCAGTCATTAAGTTCTTCACTATATGTATTATATGCATTCATAAAACATATTTATATCCGTGCATCCACAGGATAAAAAAAATTCACATAGTGTGTGTTTTTAGCTTTGCTTTGTGAGAGAGAACATACCAGTTGAGTTCAGTTCGGAAGTGGAGACGAAGAAGGAGAGTGGATCGGTAACACGTTTGCAGATTACCTTAAAGATCGAGATTATCTAATTTTGCATAATTGAGTCCTCTATTGTTCGAGACATTCTTATTTGGTCCTTGGATTTATTTTTCTTTCAAAGCACTCTATTATTTGTAGTTTGATGTGCACAAAAGTACCAAGTCTCCTTGGAGTTAACGAAGGACATTGACACAGGGAGAAGTTACGTAGAAAGCTGAGTACTGATTCCCACTTCTTCCAAAATACATTTTTTTCTTTTCTTTTCAATCACACATTTTTCAATAAAATAATTTTACATGTAAATTCAAAAAATTTCCTTATTTTTTAATCACATTATTCGTTAATCTACTATTTGAAAATGCATTTTTTCCAATTTAATGGGACTCAAAACAACTCATAAATTTAAATTGATGATATCTTTTCACCTAAAATTTTGTTGTTAAATTAAAAAGTTACGAAGCCTCCACAATATGCTAATGAGTTTTAAAGTTACGAAGTCTCCACAATAATATCTCCTTCACGTAAAATTTAAATTTTGAAGTGTAACATTAATTTTAATTATATAAAAAAGTAAATGAAGCCCAAATAACTAATATTAATAATACTAGGAGTGTGTTTGATAGTGATTTTCGGGGAAAGAATTGATTTTTGAATAGTGATATGATGAGAAATGTGTGGTTGAAAAAAGAAGAAAAAAGTATTGATGTGATGGAAAATATTATATTATTAAAGAATGTGTGGTTGAAAATGAGAATCGATTTACTGTTGAAAATGAGAATCTGTACCAAACAGGCTCTTAAATTGTTTTCACAAAGTGATTTTTATTTCATTTGATTCAAAAATTCATTCCTCATAAACAATATGTATTAATTATTTTTATATTCTCATATCTTATAATATTATTTTTGTAATACAAGTATTTCAGAATAACACGCAGCGCACGTTCAATTATGACTAGTATATTACAAATAAGACATAAAATTATTTCATATTGTAATAGGATTTATTTCTTGTTTAGATTATGACTTTTTATCCTTTTATATTTTTTATTTCTCATTCTTTTAAATCTGTACCAAACAGGCTCTAGAACACCAATTTAAGTGTAAGAAATTCATAAATCTAAATTTTAATCCGGTTTTGTAGGTGAACCAAACATTGGCTAAATATAGAACCCATGTTTAGACACCATTTTTTAAAATTCATTTTTCCTCAGTTTTTTCAATCAAACATTTCATGGTATTCACAATTTTTATAACTTTCAATCACATATTTCATTAAATTTCATCAAAATATAAAAATCTAATTTTTATCTAAACCAATCAAGAACTATGTACAAGATTCATCACATTATTGAGTCAATCTATCTATCACAATATTAACTACTTATAAAGTAAGAAATAAAATGTAAACCAAACACGTCATAATAATAAAATTTCAAAATGACCTCAAAAATCAGATTATCTTTCTCTTAAACCGTCCAACCAACCATAGAATAGGATAGTGACCAAAGAGCAATGAAATCAATGATGTGATGAAAGCGATTTAGCAAGGGCGGGGCGGGCCCCTACTCATATCCTCCCGCTTATAATTAGCTCTCAATTAAGTTGATATTAATTAGATCAATTCGTATTAGTTTTGTAGCATCTAACGTTTTAGTTTTCGAAATTTATTGTAAAGTCCCGAAAATTTCATAGAATATAATTTAATTATTGTAGATGTTATATTTTATATTTTGAAAAATTGGGAGAATAAAGTGATACATGTATTAATTCAGTTTTTTATGGGCCAAATATTTAAATTTTAATAGAGCAATTATAAGTATATTAATATTGGACTCGTTGGATAGCTCGTATTTAATCAAATCCAATACAATGTGACTGAAATTTTTTATTTCGAGCAGTAACTTCATTTCAGCATTTTAGTGAACTTTATCTTTGTCGAGAAATTTGGAACAAAATTTATTTGTTTATAAATTCCAGTTTGTGTTAAAATATATTGGTGGAATCCGTATTTTATTTTGATATTGTTTCGCACGAGTATTAGCTAACAATTAAAAAAGAAGTCAGACGATTGTGTAAGGGACAAATCTCTTGAAACAAAGTCCCAAAAAGGGGTGTTTTATTGATGAGAGTTACAATTGGAAACAAACAGAATGCCTCAAAGGGGCGCAAGCATACGAGTACTGAAAATGGATAATTAAAGTTAATCTAAAAAATTGAAATTACATGTTCTCTATTTGAGAGTGTTTGATTCAGGGTCCTATTCTCTATGTTTTATCTTCCATTTTATATTCTCATAATGATTTTTTCGTGACAAACCGCTTAGAAACTGATTGATTACTTTATAACTATCCATTTTCTTCATGATGGCTAACTTATCGTGGAACTGTCATTTCTAACTGCTGTCATTACTCTTTGTCGTTCAACCGCTTTCAAATGGGTTCCTTGAATCGTGGAACGTGATAAGTCTGATCGATAACTGCTTCAATAACTGCTATTCTAGATAACCATAATGTCTCATGTGTTAAGATTTGGGGCGACTCGAAGATTTGGGCGAAAATGAAGTCATCGCTTTGGGCGACCGTAAGGCACTCCATTCGCTCAGATTCTAGATGTCTTACGGGCTTGGACGATGATGTTACTGTGTTCGTGGGTTCCCCCTGTATTCACCAATAATCTTATTTGGACATTTATCCTGGACTACCCAATCGGGCATCACTCTTTGGGCTATTTAATTTGAACTGTACTTTTAGTATGTCAACAATTACCCCCCAATATGGCAGATTTAATACCAAGTATTAATCTATGTCATATTCATCTTGTATTTTCCAGGTAACATTTGAAATTTTTGAGAATTTCGACCATTATTTCCTTCTATAACCTAAAAGGTGCAACGTTACAAACCCTTATAAACCCAAAAGACACGCCATTTCATCGCACCACTAAACCACGTCTCTATATTTCACGTTTCTTCCTCACTATTTTACTGTTCATCTTCTTGCTTCTCTACTACATTTTTTAGGCAGACCTTAACAAGACTGTACTTTGTACTCAACGGCGACTTCACAAACTCAATCTGATGATGCTTTCAGTTTCGAAGATTTCTGGAAAATCCTTACTAGGCCGTATGTAAATCCAAACTTCCTTGCACAAGCCAATGCTGACCTCAATGAATTCTATTTGGGTCCATCATTCAATAATGCCGAAATCGTTGAACAAGTGGCGTTGGGCCAGCTGTTCCCTTGCACTGAAGACCCTCCATTTCTGAACTTCCTACCATTGAAGCCAATCCGCGATAAAGGTATTCTTACTTGGAAAAAATTGATCTTAATTTTCGTAGATAGCATGCACGTATGGTAAATAATGGTCCCATCAAAGCAATATTTGATCGTGCCAAAATTGTGGACCTATTAGAAATTACCCTTTTTTTCCCAACTTATAACCCAGTGCTTTTCCCAATCGCCCTGAGTTTCTGGTCCTCTGAGTATAACACTTTTATTTTTTTCTCTTAGCCCAATGTCTATTACTCTAAAGGATGTTGGAGCCCAAGTGAATCTTCCGCCCTCGAGTGATACTATCTTTCCTAGTATTTTGATTTCTAGTATTGCTCCACAATTTGACGAGAAAATTGTCGAATCTTATTCAAGCACGCAAGACCTTTATACTGCTTCCAATTCTGAGCCTACTCATGCTGAGTGTGTTGCCTTCCTTCAGGTCTGGCTCTGTAAATATGTTCTTTGT